AACTATGCCATATACCAAGTCTGAACAACCATAATCTTGGCCAGTTTTACTTTCAAGTAGTGTTCCATGAGAAAAGTGGCTAGCTTAGCTCCCAAGTTGTTCTCCTGGAGGCAGCCTATGTGTTTCAGAGTGGTGATGGCAGCCTTCTAATACCTAGAGCTTTCATTTCTGCAAATGAAATCTTTCATTACTACTTCATAATGTAGAACATTGACTCTTCGGTCAGCCTGAGGGAAACTTTCCTGGTAGCACCTTTTGCTTTCTAAGAACTTTATGCAAATCACTGACTAGCACTTCTGCTGTGGTTCCAACTGCCTGCTCTTCTTGGCCACCATGCAGCATAATAGAAGGGGCTCAAAATAGGCTGCCAAGAAAGAAGTCTTACTTGTTACTTTTTGTCTGGACAGAAAGTTATGGTGAAAGTGTTAACTGCATGCAGTTTTTTCAAGGTGACACTTACCTGGTATCACCATTGTCTCTTAGAGCTCCAGTGGGAAACTGACTGACTTCCTGAGCTTCTACACGCTCCCGTCCACAGTCATGCATCACCCTGCTCATAAGAGCCTCAAAGCTGCCTACTCCTTCTATAACATTCACACAGAGACACCCCTGCTGGACCTCATGAACGATGCACTCATTATAGCTAAATTGGTGAGTGACTCATTCATATTTGTTCAATTTAATTCTTTAAGAGTATATGCCAAAATATATAAAACATCTCATGGTATTTTCTTCCATCCAGGTGGAATTCATGCAGTGCCCTCCCCCACCCCATACACATTACTGCCAATGGAAGAATTTTGCTGTATTTCTTTTAAAACATTAGTGGCTGTTTTCATCATTGATTTTATTTCAATTTAACAAAAAAGAAATAAGTTAGAAAACTTAACCCTCATACAAGACACAAAACTCATAAGGGATATAAGATGTAGCCTATGAATGTTAATTAACTTGAAAATACATATCTTTTTATTTATCTATTTTCCCAGAAAAATTATTCTCAGGTAATTATTAAATAGATATCTTTCTTTTAAAAATAAATTTGAATCAGCTGACATACATTTTGATGATACACATTGAATATGGGAAAATAACTGCTCATGAGAAATTGGAAACAGTACTTGAAAAATGTCTTCCTTGATTTCTCTTGCATTTGATCATTGAAAATATTGTATAAATTTGCTACTTTTGGTCTCCAAATCAGCATTATCCCAATTGCTCATTTTCAGCAACTTTCCCCAAGTGGTCAGTAAGTTAAAGTAGAAATTAAATTTAGGTATTCCTTCTATATCACATTTTGCATAGTATTACTATATAACATTTTTAAGAAATTTAATTTTTACCATTAAAATATTAAACTTACTTCCCAGTATCAGTCCAAGACAAACATACTATTTAAAGTCTTTACAACTTCGGTTTCTTAGCAATAGCTTCACTTACGTCAGGCCTTAGGTCAGTAGTTAATAATTCTGGAAATGGAACCATCTAGACACTGCTCCCTTCTGAATCAGGAACAAGATATTTTCTAAAATCTTAATAGGTTATTTTTATGTCAGTGATAGCCATCAGATCTTTTTTTTTTTTTAAATTCAGCATTTTGAAAGATCTTGTTGACTCACTCTAGCTTTTTAAGGCAATTTTGTATGGTCTTCCTAACCTATACTTTACATTGCAGACATTAAGCCCTATTGTAAATGCATATCCAAGCTATTAGTAGAGGAATTAAATGTTATACCAATAATTTCTATAATTTCTGTAGATAGTCCTTTGATATTTTAAATTTTAAATCTTTCTTTCTTTGGCAGAAAGGATTTGATGTATTCAATGCACTAGATTTGATGGAAAATAAGACCTTCTTGGAAAAACTCAAGTTTGGTATAGGAGATGGTAGTTTACAGTATTACTTGTACAACTGGAGGTGTCCAGGAACAGATTCTGAAAAGGTAAGTTATGTTGACAAAGTCTTTGTAAACAAAGTAAGTCTAACTAGACAATTCCATCCTTGCTTCACAGATCTTTTATACTATGTTATCAAGTAATTTATTTGTTCTTACTATTTCATTTCTTTCCTCCAGGTTGGACTTGTACTACAGTAGATAGCTGTGTTGACTTCTAGAACTTTGGCATCCTCATTTGTTCATATCCTATTTAATGATTCCTGGAACCGCCATTCCAAAGAAGAATAAAAGCACAACCTAAGTGAAATTGAAGTAGTTGGTAACAATCAGCAAAGATGAAAAAACACCCCATGTGTGACCAGTTGTACACATTCCTAGTTAGAATGTTAAAATGCATCTTTTCTTTTTTTGCTGTTTACCCACTTGTGGGAGGGATGAAAGGGTACAAAGAGCACATTTCTCTGGTTTTCAAACTTTTGGCTTTCTTGGTGAAGTGAGGGTACTTTTCCACTCTCTAGAAAGGGAACTGTTTTTCTATGAACTAAAGAGAAGTCACAGCATCGTGTAAGAAAATCTCTGCTATTGTGTGGAGATAAGCTGCTGCATTTCTATTTATTAAGTGGTGGTGTATTTGTCTGTATAATAGAACAAAGAATCCATTTGGAAAATTTTTTATGTATCTCACCTTACATGACATCACTGGGAACACTTATGGAATGACAAATATGGAGCAAAATGAAAATGTACTGATTACTAGTACATTATTACTCCATAGGCAAAGTTGCCAAATCAGTAAACACAGAGATTTGTACTTTGATCTTCAGTAGGTCAATAGATGGTTTCAAAAGCAAAGTTTGAGGCAAACATTAAGTGTGCTCCCTGAAAGAGCGTACACCTGTGAATGACCAGACTTTTCCACTGCTGCACCATCTCCAGTTTCTTCTCAGCAACATCAAGGATACATGAGGGAAAGAAAATAAAAACTCTAAGGTCAAAACTAATGCCGGGTTGCTTTATTAGTGCTATAAGGCATTGATAGTTTGAATGTTTTTATTACTTATGCAAAATTGCACATATTCCTTTATGCTGACTTTTAATTTATCATGAACTGTCATGCTAATGGAAATGTCTTATTTGTAAATAAGTATTCATAATTTTGTTACCAATGGTGTTTTTACCTAGAATTTGAAAAACAAGAGTTTCACAGTGTACATGTATGTGTATATATCACCAGTAATTCAAGGGATAAATAAGATGCTAAACAAGGCTGTAGACTGGCCTTTACTCAAAGTAGACACTTCTTCCTGCCTTTACCGTACCAGTGCCTCGGCTGCTCAGTCCAGAAAAAGTTAAATTACGTTAGACAACATAATGGCGTTCCCTTCATGTTTTACAAGTAATCCAATAAAACCAGTCATTATCTTAATACCAGACAGAGGACATCAAGTATGGCCCCTGGGCTTAATCTGGCCCATCACCTGTTTTTGTACAACACAGGAACTAAATTATTTTTGTCTTTTTTGATTGGGGGGAAATAGTCAAAACAGTGACATTTTGTGACATGAAAATTATATGAAATTTAAATTCAGCATTCATAAAGAGTTTTCTTGGAACACAGCCACCCTTTTGTTTGTGTCTCACCTGTGGCCATTTCATGCTACAAAGGCAAGTTGGGTACTTGTGCCAGACTGTATGGCCTCCAAAGCCTAAAATATCTGCTAACTGTCCCTTTTTAGAAGGTCTGTGGATCTTGATTTACTAAGGAGTTGAAAACACAGCTGTGGCACCCAAGACTGCCACTAGAGGGGACACTTGGGCCCCACAGTAGTGCCTAACTGGTACAAACAATGTTCTTAAAAGACACAGAAAGACTTATCATTTCACAGGGTTCAAACTTAGCTGCAGTACCGTTCTTAACAGAAGGAGAAAAACATCAAGAAACAAAACTGGACCGATTCACTAGAACACTTCTTGGGAATACCAGCATTAAATAAGAATTTACACAATCTGGAGTCAAGGCTCATTTACATATTCCAGTTATATTATTCATGTTATTTTACTTGATTCTTAAATACAATTAATATCACTGTTCTCTTTATAATTTAAGTAGATTACCAGTGAACATTTTAGAGAATCAGTATGACTTAAATGCAATAATAGTATTTAGAAATTTTTAAAAATTGTCCTGTAATGAAAATGCTGTATCTTTTCTTTTTTAATTTGTGCCAAGATGGCACTAAGTAAAATCTAAATTAACAGATGGCATAATCCACTGAGTCAACCAGATTTTAGGCTGAAATTTGGCAAAACCATTATCTTCCCCTAAACTACCAAAAATAACTTCTCCAAATATACATTATAGACACTTGACACAGAACACTGCTGCATTTCCTGTCCTCACAAAATCTTGCCTGAGAACCCATGCTCAATGTTTTTAAAAATTTACCTCTTGCCACATGTCACCTAATTGCTATCACAGTTGTTTTCTGTTTGGTTATGTGTGTGCATGCTCATGCACAAACACATTGAGGATTAAATTTGGGGGTCTACCACTGAACTATGTCCCTACAGCTCCCATCATACTTTTTATACATGTTAATTTCCAAGTAAGTTAACAATACACAGGAAAATGAATCCGAATTAAAATACTTTATTTGGCTTACTTCTATCCCATTGGGCCTTCATCCCAGGCAGATGTTTATGCCTGCCTACAAGGAAAGCCAAACTCACATAAGTGAAAAAATATATTCCTTCTAAAGACAAAGTATTGCAAGGCATTTGGTATCTTTCCTTTGAAACTCAGTGCTCCCAATCTAGTTTCATTGACCCTACTTGTTAGAACCATGTCTACTGTGGCACATTTTCCAAGTTTGATGGGAAAATGTTAGGTGTTGTAGGCTACAGATGTTCTTGCTAACAAGCATTGTACCAGCCTTTAAAACAGTGAATTTATACAAGCATGGACATTAGTTTCAATAAACTTTTGTTTTCATATTCATATTTTTGATTATTTTTTTCACTTAAATGTTTTTAGGCTTCAGCATGTTTGTGCTATAGCTTCAAACATTCATACATAGTCGAAGGAAACATCATTACACGGGATCCCAATATACATAAATATATTTCATTTTATTTGTTTCAAGCCTTCTTTATAAAAGGTGTCCTTTTATCAATTGCATGAAAAGTTTACACAAGATTACTTTGAAGTAGTTTTTTTACTTTTGGGCGGTTTCCTTATCTTATTAGGGTTGGGAATCAATTTCTTTATTTTAAGAGGCTGTAATGCTACAGAGACCTGCTGACCTTCAAGTTTTCTCTTGTGTTTCGAGAGATCTTCAAATGAAGTTTCCAAAGTCTCTTTGTCTTGGATTCCCAAAGATTCAGTTTCTAAATTGTCTCCAATATTTTCAATTCTGTCCTGAAGCCATGGTACAGTTAAACTGGGCACTCTGGGAATGATAGCTCTTACTTCATCTACAAAGTCAGTGGTGTCTTTTTTGAATCCCAATGCTAGCACACATTTTAAGCCAATGACAGGGGCGAGTGTTGCACTGAGGCAGGGAACCTGACAGGCAGGAACAACTCTGCTTACACTTAACTGAATCAAGTGTGAGGTGATGATGGCAGGCTTGACTGACTTACATACCAGAACCAAGAGCAGTTCACTCCTTTCCAGAGCTCTAGTGACTTCATTAACACCTATGGCAAGCTGCTTCCTGATCTGCACAGGCGTCCACCCTGACATCTGCTGGTTAGCTTCTGGCCTTTTGTCCTTCAGATCCTCACTAGTATTAACATCTAGGCTGCATCTTTCTACCCTGTGCTTTTTTATAAAAGGCATTTTTTTTCTTTTTTTCTTGTCCTCGATTTTCCGAAGTCCAATAGATTTAAACTTCTGCTCAATTGTCTGTAATATGAAGTGCATGTCCTCCTTCTCCAGTGTGCTCCAACAGACAGCATAGGGGTTGTTCAAGGACGTCTTTACAACCAGAGGTCTTGTCTTGCGAATGGATCCTCTGGAAGGTGCTTGAGGGGCTGCAGACATTTTGAAAATCCTTCATAGAAAAACAATGACAGTAGAACACTCATGTCAGCTAGGAAAGCCTGTCTTGAGACTATCTTGGTTATATTTTCTCTAATTCTTGATAATCTATAGCAAGTATTAAGTAGATTGGTCCCACCTTTTCCCCATTTTTCAGGTGACCTTGTCTTTCTTCATATATAGACAATATGGGACTCTTATATCACTGCAATTACAGTGAAATCCATGTTAATTCATTTATTTAAAAATGTTGTTTCTCTTTGTTCATAATTACCCTTTTCATAACTATACGGTAGTCTTATAGATTTGTTAGCATTTCATACATTACTCTTTAATTGGGTTTACTTTCATTTACTCTCACAGCAGATATTCACAGAGTACTATAGGCCCTGGGGCTCATGGTGACTTGAGACCTGTGTCCTGCACACAATTCCACATCTGTGACTCATAATTATGAATCACAGAGCCCCAGAAGCCTCTGTGATTCACAATTAACCAGGTATAATGTGAAGAACTAAAACAGGTATCTATGCACACAACTAAAACTTAAAACAATACTTTCGTTCTGTCCCCTTTTGTAAGTTTCCCTCCCACCCTGGCCCCTAAATTTCCTTATATCTTTCCTAAATATCTGATACATATGCAGACCTATACTCCTGCCCACGCTTATTACAAGCTGACTACTATGACTTGCAGTTTCATGAAAACTAGGGAAACAGTAAGATTTAAAGATCCCAATCCATTAAGGAAAAATAGAAAGGTATATTAATTATTAAGGATATGCTATAAACCATAGGTCTAGGGAGCATATCCTGTAATTCTTTCCAGAGGCAACTGTACATTACTTTCTCTTCCTTAATGTTCTTCCTTCCCCTTCTGGGGCTCAGTGAGAAAGACAGGGACCCACTTGGCAAACTAGAAGAAGTGAAATCCCTTCCAGATAAAGTTTAACACACAAGACTAGCAATAGAGTATACCAGTGTATAAAGTACTTTACTCTTATAATCTTGGCTGCACTTCAAATATGACCGGTGGCTTTTAAAAAAACCTACACGGTTCTCACCTCAGATCAACTGAATTGGAGAATACTGCCAAGGAATCTAGGCTTGTATATTAAAAAAAAAAAAAAAAAAAAGTCTGCTGCCAAGTGAATCTGATATAGCACCAAAATTAAGAAATCAGGTGTGGGTAAGGTAGTCTTTATACACTGGACAGGCCTGAGAAATGGTCCATTCATGTTTCCTGGTCTAGTATTACAAATCACCTTTCCACAGAAAGCAAAATTCCTGGGAATTTTGACAGAAAACTTCAGTCATGTCTATATTCCCAATGCTGGAGATATCTGCTGCCTTCTCCCATCCGTCATATCTATTCTCCCAAGCTCAGTAATAAAAGTAGCTCATCTAAATCCAATGAAGTGACGGCTAGCATAAGACATCAGGGTGGAAGTGGTCAGGAATAAGGAAACAAATGAGGAGCAATATAAATATGATCTAACGGGGGTTTTGCCTAACTATACGACAGTTATTGGGTCTCAGGATCCAAACAGAACAGAATAAATACTTACAATTAATTACTCTGACAGCAAAATAGGCAGTACCTTCCCTGGTTTGCAGAATCTGGTAGGGGGAGATGAAAAATAGTTTAGGTAAGCAAAATGTAACTAAAAGCAACAAAAACTTTCAGAGAAAGGGTGCAAAACAGGAAGGGCAGAGGTGCCTTCACCGCCTACAGGATCAAGTGCAAACTCTAGGGTGACATACAAGGCCCTGGACCCTCCAGCTTTCCACCAGCCTTTCTCTTTACCCAACACCCTGCATATCACTCCCAACTCTGAACCCATACTATGTATAAGGAGGCCACCAGTTTCTCACCAACATATCTCTATACACATTCTCTTAGCCTGGAATAACCACTCCCATTCTCAGACCCATGACCACCTTCATAGTTAAGTATTTGCGGATTACCTATGATGCACCAAGCAAAAACAGTCACTGGCCTCTAGGAGCCAGAGTTTACAAGCCCTATGGGGGGAGAATAAAGCAATGTAATGTGGTGCACGCGTTAAGGTCAGGTAACTACAGGATGCCAAGGGACGCAGAGCAGAGACCTAACTTAGTTGAGCGGGGGTTAGGAGAGGAAGACTTCCTACAGGAAGTGACTTTTTTTTTTTAACTACCTCTGATGAATTCCTATCAAAAGGAATACGAAATACAACAGTGTCCCGGGGGAAGAATTAAAGGAAACTAAAAACTTCAGTGTCGCTGGGCAGAGATGCTAGGAAAAGTAGGTAAGGACTCAAGGGTAAAGACTCGCGAACTCCGGGTTTCTGGAGGAGGACCGCCGGTAGCGGAAGCATTCCTGACCCAGGGTTAACCCCTCCCTACAGTCCGCGGTCCAGCGACAGTGCAAGAGGGGTCCGAAAGCCGCGGGGACCTAGCGTGCTCCCAGACTTTGGGCTCTGGTAGAGCCCTGGGCCCGCTCCCACCCGGAAGGGTACCGTCTTCCGGCGTCTGCCTGCTCCTCCGACTCACGACCGCGACCCCACACCACCAGCCAGCCACAGCGCCGGCACCACTGCGCCTGCGCCGCGCAGGCGCAGTGTCCTTGCCTTCCCCGCCCTGCCTTCCGGGAGCAGTGAATGGCGCGAAATAGCTCGGAACTCTTCAAGTTTCGTTACCCTGCGTTTGGTCGCTCCCAACAGCGTCGCGAGGAAACGACAGAATAAGGCTCCATCGTTTAAAACAAAAACACACACAAAAAAGTCCCGAATATAAGACCCGGGGTGAAGCTTCTGCAGCTCTCTAAGCTGCAGTGCGCAGATGCAACATCTGTCTCGCGAGACAGTGAGTGTTGCCACGGTAACTGCCACTCACCGTCTTGTCTGACACCTCTGGGGATCCGGGTACCGGCAGTAGTCCCCAGGAGTGGTTCTCCCTGGGCACCCTTCCCTTCTAACCCAATTTCAACTTCCAGCATATTGGAGCCTTAGACCTCTCTTTTTGCTCTAGAGATGCAAAATCCCAGCCCCTGTCCCATTGCCCACTATCTATCGAATCCCTGCAGATTGCCCAGCACTATGAAAATCAAGTAAGTGGGGAGTTGGAGAGTTGGGGAAAACACTAGTTTATAGGCAGTAATCTAGGGACTCTTGACTCCCCCGAAAGTCAAGGGGAATTAGGCCTGCTTTGAGTTCAACACAGCAGTCAGTAATATTCCATCACAGGTCTTCTGTGGCTGTTCCAGCCAATGGAGACTAGCTTATGAATGGAGTCGCTGGGAAGTCGTGGACAATTGGTTATAGAACTGAATAACATGTTAGAGCCCAGGAATCTGTATTTGCTGATCTATTCTGGGCAACGTAGAAGTCGGTGGGTTGCTTTTGACAATAATGCCTCCTCTCAACATTCCCTTTTTAATATATATTTTTAGTTGTAGATGGACACAATACTTTCCTTTTATTTGTTTATTTTTATGTGGTACCAGGGATCGAACCCAGTGCCTCAGGCATGCTAGGCAAGCGCTGTATCACTGAGCCACAATCCCGGCCTTCCCTTTTTCTTTTCCCATCTAATTTGGGTCCACTTTCCTTTTCCAGATTATTCTCCTTTTCTCAGCCTGTTCACTTCTCGTTTTCGTCCTCATTTTCGGATCTAGCTTCTATATTTTCACTACCTCTGCAGTACTTAACGAGGTAAAACAGAGAATGTTACTTTTGGTCAAGATTATTGAAGGTCAGGCGTGGCGGCGCCCGCCTGTAATCCCATTGACTCAGGAGGCTGAAGCAGAAGGATCGCAAATTGGAAGTCAATCTTATCTTTTTAGCGAGGCCCTACACAATTTAGCGAGACCCAGTCTTAAAAATAAAGGGGTCCGGGCTGGGTTTGTAGCTCAGTGGTAGAGCACTTGCTTAGGTTCAATTCTCAGCATGGCATATAAATAAATAAAATAAAGGTTCATCATCAACTAAAAAAAAACAAACAAAAAAAAAAAAAAAAAACAGAAAAAAATTAAGCATTAAAAAGAAAAGTGGGAGGGGCGCTGGGATGTGGCTCAGTGGTAAAGTGCCCCTGGATTGAGCCCCTAGAACAAAACAAAACAAACAAAAAAAGATTATTGCATTTTTTTTGCAAATTACACACAGTAAAGTCTGATGTGATTATTTATCATAATTAGAAATAACAAGGTTACAGTGAGTTGGAGTGTATTGACAGACTTTTGTTTCATAAAATGAATCAGTCGTTTATGATGGTAAACTGTAAACACAATGCAATTCTAAAGACAACTAGAGACACACAGGTCTAATTGAAATACTAGAGTGATGGAAGGAACCTTGTAAACAGTTTTAAATCCCTAAGATTCCAGTTTTATATTTGAATATCATCTGAGCTTCCATGTGCTCCATTGGAAATTATCAGCCCTTGCATTACATGGCTCTGGAGCTAGGCTGACTAGGTTGAAATGCAAACTCTATCACTAGCATATGACCCTAGGCAAATTAACCTTCTCCATGAAGTGATAAAAATAGTACCTATTGTGAAGATTAGAGGAGTTGATCTCTGTAAGATGATTAGCAATGTGCCTGGCACATAATATGTGTTTGGTAAACTGAATAGTGACAACCTTGTCAAAATTAAATTTATAAAAAAGTAAATGTAGCCTCTATGTGTTTAGTGCTTGTGTTTTAAGACTAGCAATCCAACTTCCACAAGAATTTTGTTAAAATGCACAACTATATTTCAAAGGTTAATTTCTCTCCCTTTTGTGTAGCACAAAAATTACAACAAAAAATTAAAAAAAACAACAACAAAGAACTTTCATGACCAAATCATCTCAAACATTTTCCTTTCAATATTCCTTTCTAATTTATTCACATAAATTCATGCTAAAAAATAATAATATAAATTTTGTGTACTGGTTTCTTTTCCACATTCTCTTTCTCAAACATACATAGGCTTACTGGGACCACTTTAACATTTAGGTGTTTGGTATTCCATGATCAGTTTTACTTTTTTAAGAACAGCTGTTATTTTACCTTATAAAATATCAGTTGAGTCTTTGAATCACTTATTAAAACATTGAATAGTTTATAAAAAAAACTTTCTTTTTATATTAATTCTAGAATTAGATTTTTGTCAGACTTATATAATTGCCATGATATAACAGTGGTTTAAGATTCTGGGTGTTAAGGTGGGTCATTATTTAAAATAATTTGAAGCCCAGCAAGAAAGTGTCAGTAGAAGAATGTGACAGAATAAACCATCAGATTCTTTTTTTTTCTTCATGGCATTCTGGCCTTTGCTCTGTGCGGGTTATTGTTACAACACTTACATATATAATCCCTAGTCATTTTCAATCAGTTGCTATGAATAGTCAAGGATGAGCTGCAAAATCATAGAACAGACTTGGAGTCTGAGCCATTGGGAGCCCTGCTAGTTAGGACTACATAAAATGTTAAAGCACATCTGCATCCACGGAGGCAATGTGAATAGGAGTTTCAAGCACTCCAGCAATTCTAGACAAAAGCATCGCAGCCCATCCATAGATAAAGCCAGTAGGGAGAAAAAGAGTCTGTTGGATTCAGGCCATTTATTATCCTTACAGGATAGCAAACCCATGATCAACATGATGTCAGCTCCCAGTACCCCTAATATCATGGGACAACATCCCTAATCCTAAAGGTCAGATAACAGGTGTTATAAATGGTGAATGACTCTGCAATGAGGAATTAACTCTAAATTTCAGCAAGTTGGAGTAGGTTCAGAGGGAAGTTACAAGGAAATAGAAAGATTTAGTCTCAACTAAAACCAGGGAAATAGATGAGAAACACCCTTGGACGGTGTCTTAAGATAGAGAATCCTTGCTCCAGGAGAAATAATAAAGCACTTCAGTGAGCACCCAGCCCATGCAGGTGTGGCAGTGTTGAGATGTTCAAGCTGTCTTGGACCTTGGCAGAGCTTATTTATTAAAAAAGAGAAATTTGCAGGGACAGGATGGTACTGGGGATCTAACCCAGGAACAATTTGTCACGGAAGTACATCCCCAGCTTTTTTTATTTTTTGTTTTGAACAGGCCCTCGATAAGTTGCTGAGACTGACCTTGACCTCCTAAGCTTCAAAAAAATAGAAATTTGAAAGATCATTGAAATCATATAGTCTCAAGCCTAATCTGGAATGTTGTTCTCTTTTTTTTTTTTCAAGCAACTTTATTTTTAAAGAGAAGTCTTAGGTCCACAACAATTTTCTTTCTTTCTTTCTTTCTTTCTTTCTTTCAAGAAGAGGCATATTTCTTTCTTTCTTTTTGTTTTTTTTGAAAGAAGAGGCATAATGTGATGTGATGCTGAACTTTACATTTTCCATAGATTATAAAGAAACAGCATCAATGCTGGAAATAAATTATGCCCATAATATAACAGTGGCTACAATTAACTATTTAAAATGTCATAGAAATGTACAAATGAGTCCTAAAATTTTAGAATTAAAGTATAGACATTTATATGAATTAGATTAGCACGGAAGTTTTTTTTTTGTTGTTTAATCATTGCTGTTTGTTTTTGTTTTGAGATGAGGTTTTGCTGTTTTCCAGGCTTCAAATTCCTGGTCTCTAGCAGTCCTCCTGTCTCAGTTTCCCTGAGTTGCTGTTACCACAGACATACATCATTGCACCTGACTTTTTTCTCTTTTCTTTCTCTTGTCTCTTTTATTCATTCTTTTCTTTTTTGACAGAGTTCTTCCTGAAGCAGTATAAGCAGAACTGGTAGAGAAGCACTTTTAAATAGAAATGTGTATGTATGTGTATTATTATCCAGTGATAGAAACCAATCTTTCCCTCTCCTTCTCCTCCTCTCTCCCTCTTCCCCTCTCCCTCTCCCCCTCCCCATCCCTCCCTCTCTCCTGTCGAATATATAGATCCTGGAAAACTGGGTCAGGTGGAACAGGCGTGCAGTCCTTTGCGATAATTAAGAGGAAGTTAGGATGTTGCAGCCCGTGCTCAAAATTATGTTTTTGCTTTGCAGAAGAGAAAAGGCAAAACCCCAGCCCTCTTTCACTCGTGAATAGCGCCCAGAGAGAACGGGAGTGGCTGGGGGAGACGTGAGAGGCCTCAAGTAATCACCACCCACTGCCCAGGTTTCTAGAAATTGAGAGGAGAAGAGGTATCCATCAAGAAGGAATCCCAAGTGAGGTCCGCGCCCTGGGGAAGCTTCTCTGCGTCTCCTGGAAACAACTCCTCAGAGAAAATGGGCGATCCAGCGGCAGAGAGGAACTCTCTCGAGAGCCCTTCTCTCCTCCTGGCCAGCGGCGATGTCTTTGGGTCCCTGCGGGACTTTGCTGCTCACTGCCCAGCCCCGCCCTCTCAACACCTGACCCGTGGGAGCCTCCGGGGCTCCGAGCGCGGCCAATGGGAGCGGTGGGCGGAGGACAGCTGCCCTTTAAGGAGCGGCCCAGCCTTCCCCAGGCACCGAGCGCCAGGAGAGCAGCAGCATCCTTGCCTTTGTCACTATGTCTCTGCAGGTAACACAGGACATAGGGAGGCCGAGCTGGGTGGGGGTGGGGGATGCTTTGAGAGGGAAGCACTTAAATGGGGCATGAGACTGGCATGCCTGCCACCCTCACCTGGGAGCGCTGGACAGCGATCCTGTGGTCACTCCCACACCTGCCCCAGCGCCTTCTTATTGCAGATAGACTGCACTTTTCCACCTGTTGATGACAAGTCATGCTCCCCGTGGCAACCCTTCTGGGGAAGAGACACTGGTTAAACTACCCTGAGCGGAAAAGTAGGCACAGACTTCTGGGAGCCTAAGTGAGCCCTCCTCCAGCCACTGTCTTCAGGAGGGAGGTGACGTCCATGGAGGGAAACCTTCGTGTTGGGACCTACTTGGGTTCTCATAGACAAGTGTCTCTCTTAACAGCAGAGTTCTGTGAGACTCTAACTTTAAAATACTGTTTTATTGATATGTTAGAAGTAGAAAACTTAGGGAAAGGGAACAAATAAAATAAATAAGCATCATCAGGATCTCCTTTACGGGGGCAATAACCACTGCTAAACGTGACAGGTGCTCCTTTGTAGTCTTCCAAGTGCGTGTGTGCAATATGAGTGCACACACTTATGTAATTGTGTATATGCAGTTTTGTTTCTGTACCTAGTATTATGAGCATTTTCTTATCATTAAAATCCTTCTAAAGTGACATTGTTTATATGCATAAAATTTCATAGAATAAGCAAAACTAATTATTTTTAACCATTTCTTCAGGCAAGATGTTATGGGTGGGTTGGGGACACCATGCAGAGTCATGGAGGTTCATACCCATACCCTGTAACCCACTTTGTAAGTGATACAGTTAATCTCTGTGCCTCAGCCTTCTCATTTAGAAATGGTGGACAAATAACTGTTAAATGAGCTGCAGGTACAGCATTTAACAGTGCCTGGTGGAGGATAAATGTGCAATAAGAATAAGCTCATTAGATGACTTAATTCATACTGAACTTTTCCCCAAATAATCAAAACTTCCTTCAAATCAAAAGATCTAAATGATTGTTATTTAGCTTAGTAATATGGTTTTTCACTATTGTTGTTAACTGGGTTTTTAATATCTATTTTTTTCTCTCTGTTGCTTTAAAAATATTTTCAGTAAAGATTTAAAGGTTCAGAATCATCACAAAAGAGCAACAGGCTAATAAATATTAATAGCACCCACCATAATGTTATCTACTACCAATTCACTTGAGTACTCAGAATATTGGAGAAAATACCATTTTAAAAAGACAGCAGGGACACTGAGTACAAGGTACACTGAAATCATACTATTTTTATAACTTTTACCTAAATCTAAAATAATTTCAAAAAGGCCTCAAAATACTAATAAAAATGAAAATTAAAAGAGGAACAACTAGCTCATATATTTAAGCCTTCATAACCTAACTGGCATTATGGCAGACATTGCACTGGCACTTGTGTTGCTCCAAGATGCTATCAGTGACTCACTCAGTAGAAATGAGAAGAAGGGGCGCAAGCATAGGAGCCCCAATCTTCTAAGTTTTATGCTAGAATAAACAGAAGTGGCTGACACTCCTAGAAGCAACAAGATAAATGGAATTCCTAACTCAGCTATGATCTCTCAGTTTTATCTTTAAATTGCAATGTGTTTACTCCCTCAGCAAAGCTTTAGGAGGACTGAAGTCATCTTAACTGGACATATTTCATTCCTACATGGTGAAGCTAAAAATAGCAAACTGTCCCTTCAAGGAGGTACATCTTTTCAAGTCTAGGAGGATTTGTGATTTTACATTCAGCAACTAACTCACTCTTCTTCCCCACATGTATGTGTGATTAAGATCTGTGAAATTACTTTGTGAGGAGTTCTTATCTACCTGATTCAGTTCCTCATGGGAATGAATGGTTCAAAAAGGTTTTATCAAAGTCACATGTGAGATGCCCATGTGCTTTGGTTGCAGAAAATGAAGTTGAATTAAGTGTGAGTTATCCTTCAAGGCTGTCTTCAGCTAGGGTGAAATGTGGTGCAGCCCATAATCCAGTGACTTGGGAGACTGAGGCAGGATTTTGCAAGTTTGAGGCCAGCTTGGGCAACTTAGTGAGACTGTGTATTTTTTTTTTAAAGAGATTAAAGCTGTGTCTCACCTTTATAACTTTGTGATCTTCCTAATATCCAGTCACTCATTAATTCATCCAAGAAGGATGTATGGACTGGACTCAGACCTGCCCTTGTCACCTACTGGCAGTGTGTGAAGCTCAGCTGTGGCCACCAAGATGCGTGTTTATGCCTGCACTCCATTATGTATGTGATGGAACAAACCAAAGCAACTCCACCCGTCCTTTGTGCTGAGCACTGGTAAATTCTGTCCATGCTGTCTGGAGTAGCTTTGTCACCCCTGATCACTCAGCTAACACTAACCACCTTCTCCCAGCTCATTCCTCTGGGAAGGCTTCTAGATGGCCATCCCCTCTGGGCTGCCACTCTCTCCTCCAGTCTCAGAGCAGCCTGCTCCTCCTTTATATCAAGTCTCACAAGGTCACTGTTGCCATGCATGTCTCCCTCTGGATTCTGAGCTCCTTCAAGCAGACTGTCGGCTTGTCACTCACTGCCTGCCTAGCACAGGCCAGACCCGTCCTAGGTGTTCAGTGTACTGTTGATTGGGATGGTACCTGTGATGAGCTCTGGGAGGGAAGAGTCCACAGAATCAAATCAACTAATATTTACATTTCTGATTGGGTTTAGTCCTCACACCTTCCTGCTGAGACTCATAAAAGTTGACTTTCCTTTATCTGAACTACTTTGGACCAAAAGCATTTCAGATTTTGGAATATTTCAATAAACAGAATGAGATATCTTGGGGATGGAATTCAAATCTAAACATGAAACTCATGTATGTTTTATATGTGAATGCCGTACACACACAGCCTGGAGGTCATTTTATGTATTTTTAGTGTACCTGTGTTTTGAATGTGCTCATGGTAGTAAGTGAGAAACTTTCTTATCAGCACTCCAAAAGTTCTAACCTGGAAGCTTTTCAGGTTTCATATTTTCAGATTATGGATGTCCACCCTGTAGTACTTTTTTTTTTTCTCCGAAGCTGTACCTCAGAGGAGCTTGGTGTCTTGCAGAGCCCCACAGCAGTGTGCCTCAAAGGTAGAATAGAAATCTTGAGTATGCCATGCAAGTCTAGTATTATTTCCATTGCTGCTTACTGCAGTTGGGGAGGGAGAGGCATCATGGTGAAAGGGGCAGTGGAATAGCACCCTAAAGTAGGAACAGTTCAAATAGAGGTGCTGGGGGAGGCAGGCTGCATACAGAGGAATTCTGGGCAGTGTTCCCTACCTGGGGAGGGAGGAGGGACAGATGGGGACTGCTGAAATGGCATGGGACAGCATGTCAGGGTCAGCATGGAAGGGGTCCAAGATGTTCACTAGACCTTTTTGTGGTTCTGTAGCTCCCAGAATATGAAGAATAAGTTCCCAGAAACTTTTTCATGCAAGGCAGGGGGCTTGCATGATTTTTTAGAAACCTTAGAATATTAATCAAGTGTTGGCTGGCCAAAAGGAATTGAGTTGGTGTCACTGGAGAATAGCATGAATATTCATAGCACAGAAACTCTGAGATGCTGATACACCTGAAGAGAAGCATCCCTGACCCTCAGTCACCTGGCCTGGCTTGTCCTTTGGAGCCCTGATCACTCATGCAGCAATTGTTTTGTTTTCCTTGTACATGCACTACATGCATGTTATGAAAAATTTGGAGACTACAGAAGTTTTAAAAACCCAGAAAACCTACCAATAGTCAGAGGCAATTACTGTTTACCTATTTTAGTATATTTATTTCTAGTCTTATTTTTTCTACATAACTTTCAAAGCTGAGTATATTGAAACAATTTTGTGTTCTTTGCTTAATGATAAGCTAAAAGTGTTTTTCATGTCTTCATAATTGTGCTTTTATCAAGAGCTTCTTTTTAAACCCACTCCTCCAACAAGCCTTTTAATACAACTAATAATAGCTGACCCTTATTGAATAATCACCATCTGCCAGGCATTCTCTTGAGTACTTTACATGTGTTAACTTATTTAAGTTCTCCTAACAATTTTAAGTGTTGTTATTGTCTCATATTCCAGATGAAGAAACAGACACAGGTTAAGTAACTTGCCCTAGGTAACCCAGCTCTTTAGTAATAACAATGAATATCAACCCAAAGCCTGTGTCCTTAACCATGTCCTTAACCAACTCAGCAACCGAGTTTTCTTGAAGGATAAGGCAGCTTTCTCACATGCACACATCCTTCTCAATTTCCTATAGAAATCTGTTAGGAAGCAGGGCCATTTTCAAGGTTATTTAGCCTGAAAACCCTGGTCTCCAATTTATAGATGACTCATGTTCATCATAAAACAATTCTGGCTGTGCTACTGCCCTGTCTTTGGGGCTGGCTTTACCCAGCAACACTGCTGAGCTCATAGGCTTCTGAGCTTACAGTGGGGCTTTCTCTTCACTTTCTCTCCCAGGCTTTTGAACCAAAAGGGAACACTGACATCTGAGGAATAATATAAGGCAGATGGATGTTCACCTTCCCTAATTTGATACCCAGGCTACTGACGATTCCTGCTTACCCCCAATTTAAAGCAAATGCCACAAGGTAGATACAGTTTATTAAAAAGAATAAGATATTCTAATAAGAAAAATAATCAGCTAAGAGGTCAAAGGAGAAAGAGATGAAGTGTCCAGGAGTGCTAAGACTCTAGGGCAGGTAGAGCTGGACTTCCTCCCTGAATGGAAGCTGCCAAGAGAGCAGCTGCTGTCCTGGTTTAAGAGCTAAAGGCCTTGGGAGGTAGGAAGTGCTATATTTAGGATCTGGAATGTCCCTCAGAGGGGGACCAATCCTATGGTATCCTATAATATACCTATACATGACACTTTTGGGAGATGGCAAAACTTTTTAAAAAGAGGAAGAGGCTAGTGGGAAGGCTCCAAGTCATTAGGGGCATGATCTTGATGTGGACTGTGGGCCTTACCCCTTCCTCCTTCCTCTCTTTTGTTCTCAGCCATGAGTAAAGTAGTCTTGATTCACCATGAACTGCTGCCATGATATGCTACTTTGCCACTGGCCCAAAGCCATGGAGCCAGTCACTTGTGGGCTTAATAGAACTGTGGACCAAAATAAACCTTTCCTCTTTATAATTTGACTTATCTCCAGTGTGTGTTCTAGTGACAGGAAGTTGACTCACACAGAGAGACTAGGTTTTTCGGAGAGAATTCAGGATGGTGCAGACAGTGTTTCCCACTCAAGTGTATTTGTGTGCTCAGTTTGCTGATCAGCTTTATGTTGCCAAACAACTTCTCTTTTCTGGACATTAGTTCATATTAAGTCTTTTAATCTGGGGTTTCTGTATTGAAACTCTATGAGAAATCCAACTAAATCAATGGTATTGATTGCCCTCAGAACCAAGTTAATGCATTAGATAAGTAAAAAGCTACTGTCACTGAAGAGTGTGGACACTGCCAGAGGAATGTCCTGGACCTAGGAGAGGTCAGTGGTGTTCATAAGATGATCCAGAAAGCTGCACTGATTGTGGTGCCCTTTAAAATACATAAATTGATCCTTTCCAAGGTCATGAATATTATTTAGTTATCCATACTTTGTCTATGTATCAGGTAAAGTGTCCATGAGTCCCAATAAATTAGGATAATTCTGGTGGAAACGGAGCAGCAATAGCTCATTTCTATTTGACCCCCTCCCTCTCCTCTCCTCTCGAGTCCCATTCCTTGGTGGTCAACACTCCCAAAGTGCAATGGGCCTTCCTAACATTAGCCCATGCACTGTGTGCCTTTTTCTTTGCTTTGTTTTTGTGTTATTTTATTTTATTTGGCTTTAGGCAGATTTTGACAGGGCCACAGAAGATGTGAAGAAGCTGAAAGCAAGACCGGAGGATGAAGAATTGAAGGAAATCTATGGCCTTTACAAGCAAGCTGTCATTGGAGACATTGATATTGGTATTATATTATCCTTTTAAAATGTAAGGACATACTTAGTATTTGTGAAAGTGTGTAGTAAGAAGTCAACTTGACAATCTCTCTTTGCTTTTTTTGCAGTATGTCCAGCACTGTTGGATGTCAAAGGCAGGGCGAAGTGGGAAGCATGGAGCCTCCAAAAAGGTTTTAATTCTTCAACAGATTTCAAGTCAGCCTTCATACTTCTTACTCTCCCACTGCACCAACCAGGGAGGTGATGGGATCTGTTTGTGTCTTTCTAGGGTTGTCCAAGGAGGATGCCATGAGTGCCTATATTTCTAAAGCAAAAGAGCTGATCGAAAAATATGGAATTTAGAGTGCAATAGAAGAGAATGTGCTCCTTCTGAAGTCTTCATAATGGTATCTTGACCTTACATTTAGTGGGAAATGCACTATTAACACTGGACCACAGATATTTTGGCTATGAGCAAGATTTATAATATTTAGGAGTATGATGAAAATGCACAGTTAACTAAATTTCACTGGCTTAAACCAGGTAACTTTAAAGGTTCTTTTACAAAAATCATTGCTCTGGAGTACGTATACCAAACTTTTTTTTTTTTTGGTAGTATTGGTTCAAACCCAGGGTTCAGGCATGCTAGGCAAGCACTCTACCACTGAGCTACAGTCCTACCTGTATACCAAAACTTTGATTATTTGCTCTTTTTAAAATTTATTTATTTTTTAGTTTTAGTTGGACACATACATTTATTTTATTTATTTACTTTTATGTGGTGCTGAAGATCAAACCCAGGGCCTCTTATGTGCTACACTGAGCTACAACCCCAGCCCATGATTATTTACTCTTTTGATGAATCTATTCTCAATATTGAGGGAGTGCTACTGGGGTAATAAAAACAGTTTATTAAGAATCAACAGCAGCTGGGTGCAGTGTTGCACATCTGTAATCCTAGCTTCTTGGGAGGCTGAGGAAGCAGGATTACAAATTCAAGTCCACCCTTGTGGGCCCCCGGGGGTATAACTCACTCAGTGGTAGATGCCTAATGTGCATGAGTCCCAGGGTTCCATCCCCAGCACCACAAACAAACCAGGAAGGAAGAAATTTATAAGTCTGTTTTTAGCTCCTCAAAGAAGGAAAAAAGCCACTGTGAAAATTTTCAATTTTTACCTTTAAAACATAAAAGAATCAAACTAAAATGTATCTAGTGATCTATGCCCCTTGGGATCAGTTTTGTTGGAGTGAAAATGTAGAGTCTGGAATGATGTTGACCCACACTACTCAGGATTTCTTGTTGGTTCACAGGATCTTTGAAAGCTGGATGTGGTAAGATACACCTGTTCTCACAGCTACTCAGGAAGCTGAGGCAGGAGGATCACAAGTTTGAGTTCAACCTGGGCAATTTAGTGAGACCCTGCCTCAAAAAATAAAAAGGGCTGGTGATGTAGCTCAGTGGTAGAGCATTGCCTAGAATGTTTGAGGTCCTGCGCCTGATCCTCAGTACTGCTGCAAGAAAAGAGAAAGAAGAAAACTTGTTTAAGATTCCATGAGATAAATATCCCCCCAAAGAGTATATCTTTGTTTCCTGCCTAAGAGCTCAGGTTTAGGGGATCAAGATACGGCTCAGTGGTGGAGTGCTTGTCTGGCATGTGTGAGGCCCAGGGTTCTATCCAGCAACACAAAAACAAAACAAAACACCCCCACCTCCGCCGCAAAAAAAAAAAAAAAAAAGAATTCAGGTTTGATATGGAATTACCATTACCAGATGGATAGATTGTAAACAGAACAAAGCAAAAACCTCTTGATCCACTAGATGAATTTCCAGGGAATTAAGCTGAGTACAAACAGTAATACCAAAATATTATGTGCTGTATAATTCTATTTAGGTGAAATTCTTGAATTCTTGAAGTGGCAAGTTATACATATAAAGGACAGAATTGTGGTTTCCAGGGGTTGGGCTTGTGGATCAGTGATAAAGCACTTGCCTAACACATGTGAGGCACTGGGTTTGATCCTTAGTACCACATACAAATAAATAAATAAATAAATAAATAAATGTATTCATTTATGACTAAAAAAATACTTAAAAACAGAATTGTAGTTTACAGAGAGGAAAGAGGTATGTGTGGGTATCACAGGGCAGCAGGAGGGTCCTGTAGTGTTGGAATGTTTTGTCTCTTGACTGTCAAAATGTCAATATTCTGGTTGTAATATTTACTATAGTTTTGCACAGTATTAATGGGGGGGATTTTTTTTATTAGTGCACACTAGTTATACAGCATAATAGGTTTCTTTGCAGCATATTTGTTCATGCATATAGCACACTTTACTCACTTAATATTATTTCTAAATTATTTATTAAAATTACCTGGGAATCTAGAGTTGCCTTGAAAAAAAACTGAATTAAAAAAATCAAGATTGATTGCTTATTTGTAAATTTTGTGAAAGCAAAAATGATTCTCATCTTTGCTAAGTTTTACCTAAACCCAGAAGTTTTCCATAATGAGGTCAAGGCCCAAGTCCTTCAAAGATAAGACACTATCGATATTAGGCCTGGTTGTAATTGAAAGCCTGGAAAGTCAGAGCTGTTCCCTACTGGACTTTCCCTCCACCAAGTGGAGGGGCAGCAGAAAAAGCCCACCCCAAGCCCTGGCATTTGCTATATTATGAGACTCATGATTACAAACTATGTTGACTAAAGTGTTTTTCAAATTATAATCACAAATCTAAATTACTTTTTTTTTTTTTTTTGGTACCAGGGATTGAACCCAGCAGCACTTATACTGAGCTCATTTTATTTTTCATTTTGAGAGAGGGTCTTGCTTAGTTGCTTAGGACCTTGCTAAATTGCTGAGGCTGGCCTCAAACTTGCAATCCTCCTGCCTTAGCCTTCAAGTCCCTGGGATTTTAGGCATGTGCCATTGTGCCCAGCCCACATTACTTTTGGACTAATCTTTTAGTAAGGGGGCTCTGGAAATTGCATCAGACTAAAGGGTAGTACAGTATATACTAAACATTTAACGTAGTTTACTTGAGATTGTTTCTAGCCTAAGTTTATTATGTGAATTATAACTCTCTCTTGTAATGAATTTTATATTATTTGTACTTGTTAAAAAGGGTCTGGGAAATTCTCCTGTGTGCATTTTTCTTAATCTTATTTATTAAGACCCTACCTACGGTGTGGTGAGCCGCCTCTGCTGCTTATGCAGATTATGGTCGCCATTACAAGATGGTGCTGGCTCCGCTGTGGTTTGTGACAAACAACTCCTTATTTGGGAGAGTTGGCGCATGGCTTTTCAGCACCCTATGAGAAAGTTCTACGTGGCAGCTTCGCATTGGGCCTTGAGATGCTTTATTAAGGCTGGGAGGGGCATCCGAGGGATTAGTAGAAGAAATATCAAGGGCCTGAATAAACCGCTGAAAGTTCTGGTTCCCGGGTCTCGGCACCACTTGTCACGACCCCTTGCCCGCAAGGAAGATGCAACTCGAGAATCTTCTTTCAGCGGTTTATTCAGGCCCTTGATATTTCTTCTACTAATCCCTCGGATGCCCCTCCCAGCCTTAATAAAGCATCTCAAGGCCCAATGCGAAGCTGCCACGTGGAACTTTCTCATAGGGTGCTGAAAAGCCATGCGCCAACTCTCCCAAATAAGGAGTTGTTTGTCACAAACCACAGCGGAGCCAGCGCCATCTTGTAATGGCGACCATAATCTGCATAAGCGGCAGAGGCGGCTCACCACACTATGGGGCTGGGGCTCAGTGGCAGAGCGCTTGCGTAGCATGTGTGAGGCACTGGGTTCAATCTTAGCACCAATATAAAAATAAAAAAATAAAATAAAGGAATTCTGTCCATCTATAACTGTAAAAAAATTTAAAAGGTTCTACTTACATTATTTTAAAATAGCAAGAGAGGGGGCTGGAGTTGTGGCTCAATGGTAGAGTGCTTGCCTCACATGTGTGAGGCACTGGGTTCAATTCTCAGCACCGCATATAAATAAATGAATAAAATAAAAGTCCATCAACACTAAAAAAAATATTAAAAAAATAAAATAGCAAGAAAGAATGAGCTCATGTTATGTGATTGTAAACAAGTAGATGCTTTAAAAGTTAACATTTTAATATATAATGTTATGTTAAGCAGTGAGGAATATGAGAAAATGACATCTGTCACACTAGGTAGTGGAGTTTAGTGTAAAGATGTGAAAGAAATAAGGAAACTGGGGGAGGGGATCTGATTGTATTAGTCAGGCCTTGAAGAGAGGAACTAGTTTGGGAATTGAGAGAGTTCAGGGTCCAGGGATAATAATTCCAAGCATTTCCCCTATCATCCATTTTCACCAGTAAAATAACTGAGGAGGGCTGGTGGGGGGTATATCTCAGTAACGGAACACTTGCCTGGCATGCACAAGGCCCTAGTTTTAATTTCCATCACTGGAAAAAAAATTGAAGGAAAAATAATTTTTTACCAAGCATTAATTTTGTTGATCAACTTCCTACAAATGAGCATTAAGTAGAAATTCTAATAGAAAGGTAAAGGACTCTTCTAGAAGTGTTCCTTACCTATTTGCCTTTCATCCACAGATACATAAATAATCCATGGAGAAATACATTTATTCATATGTAGTAAATCACCCTGACAGTAGAAAATGTGTGACTCCCAATCTCTAAAACTGCCGAGCTGCATCTGTATAAACAAGAAGACTATTGTAAGGCCAAAAGGAAAAATGCCTAAAAGTTGGCAAGCAATGATTCTAGACACTTGGTTATGTAGTTCTTGAAGAAGTTTTCCTTGACAAGTTCCAGAAGATAAAAAGTGATCTCCTGACAGCACATGAGTATCAATGTTTCCACTGGTTATATCTTTGCAGACTAAAACAAGATTTTATTTAATAACAACAAATGACATTTGCCAGTACAAGTAAAGACTTATTTCCACATATTATTTCTCTAGGAGCTGATACCCAGTGGTAGAGTTACTTTCAAGGTGTCAGGTTCTTTGTGTCCTATATCTTTAATTTCTCTAAGACCTACCAGTATACAGTGGTATCACTTGTGTTCTTTCATTTTACATGAGATTAATACCTCTCCATTTACACTACATAAAACTGGGATGAACTTTCTATTCACAGCAGTAACTGTTAGTTGACATTTGCTGAAAATCATAAAACACACATTTTAATAAATACCCAGAAGTATAAAAATAATTTTACCTGCTACATCCTTTGCTAGATCTTTAGATCCAACAAAGCATGTTAAGTGAGTCACAAGAAAGAAGGCCTTAGAGGGTGTGTAAGAGGTATAAGTGAGAAAGAGCTAGTTAAGCAACACCCCGTGGAACCTCTTCCTGTTAATAGCGCCACTGACATGAAACAGGAGGCCTCACCTTTGGCTGTTCCCACAGTGCAAACACTTTTTCACTGGGGCATTTCTTTCTATCAGAAACTGCCTGAGACTCACTGTGATCCAGGTCATTCTCCAACCTCATCTAAGTTCTAGAATGTACAGCTGGCAGCAGGAGGGTGCTGGGGGGCCCAGGGCCAGGGTGAGGCGGGTTTCAACCAGTGCTGTTGGCTATTGTAGCCCAGTTATGACCTTCCTGATACCTCCCATCTCTCTCTATGGCCCAGTGAAGGTTCTGGGGACCTGCAAATAAACAAATTCAGGCCCCACCCTCCTATGTCTGAGAGACTGGCTGGGGAGAGATGTGAATGGAATAATCAGACAACTGAAGACAGATGGAAGTACTACCAAGCCATGTGATTGGAGACATGGGAGAGAAGTGGGGACAGGCTAGGTTGAAGGAGGGTCTCCCTGAGGAAGTGGAGTGCATCTGAGTTCTCAATGAATAGGAAAGAACTGAATGAATGAGATGGAGGCTGCAGGGAAAGAGAAAAGGAGTTCAATTTATCGCTCAGAGAATGAAGCAGTTATTGGGAGAAATCAAGGTGAAGTAGTATGCAAGGGCCAGGGGAAAGCCACATAGAGAACTGTGGTCATCCCAAGAAAAAGTCACGAAATAATGATCAAACTTGACTCTTGTCCTCCTGGATATAGTGCAGGGAATGGCCTGGAAGGGCACAAGGTGCATAAGAGAACCAACTGAGGGGCTCTTTCAATAGACCAGGCAAGGATTTCTCTTCTGCCTAGGATGTAAAAACTAGGAGTGTGACTCAAGGTGAGGGGGGAAAACAACAGATAATTCATGGGAAGCTGTGGGGCAGGGCACACTGCAGGCCCTCTAAGGAGAAGTAGGGTGCCATAGGCTCAATCCTGGCCAAGTGCACAAAGAAGCTCTAAAATCAGCTAGAGTTTTGACAGGGGTTGGGGACACTGATAGTGAACTTGGAGCTTGTTGAAAATGAAACCACTTAAAATTAAGCATAGAGGGAACATGACCAAAAACCAAACAAATAAACAAACAAAAACAAAATAAAAAACCGTGTCCTGTAGGTATAATACCATTCACTTCAACATAAGTGTAGCTCAAGTCCCAGGACAGTAGAGAAGAACAAAATAGAAAGACATTTGAAGAAATAATGGCTGAATATTTCCAAATTTGACAAAAATTATAAAGTCACACATCCAAGGAGCTCAAGAAACCCAATCAGAATAAGCAGTGAAAAATACATTGAGGCAGGTTGTAATCAAATTGCTAAAAATACAGTTAAAAAACCCAGAGGACAGTATGTACAATTATCAAGCTGGAATTCTATAACTTG